TTTTGTTGTTGTTGTTTGGTTTTATTGTTTTTGTTTTTGCTGCTGTTTGAGAGGGGACCTTTTAAGGGGCCCTCCCTAGCTGTAGAGAAGAAAACATCTCCTTTTGCTCTCTATCCTCTTCTCCCCTCCTCCCTCTCTGTGCCCACGAAGCTTCCCAGGCTCTAGTAACCACTGAGTTCCATCCTTTGTGTTCTAAGAGAATTTTATCAGTATACATTTTGAGCTGAAATGAAATTATCTAATTGTCCTTCTGCTACACTAGAGGCTGAGCCCTGTAAGGAGCAAGCATATCCTATGCCTTATTATGATGCCTGGAGTATCAAACACTTGCCTGAAATCATAAATACTTTCTGAACAAGCGAATTGTTCCATGCTGCTTGAGTATTTATCCTTTCAAAACCTTTCCTGGACAGTACAATCAACACAGTTTGCCACGTGCCTCTTGTATCTGTCTTCATTCTGGCTTTTTCAGACCAGAAGAATATCTATTTATCTTGCTCACTGAAAACATTTTCAGAATTGTTCATCAGAAAGCTTTTCATATAGACCTCTTGTCTCCAAATCACAGTTTCCAAGTTTAATTTTCGCCTAAGCAAATAATACTAATTTAAAAAAATCAATTATTTCTGAACACCTGAGGATCAAATCTTACAAATCTAAAAGTGATAAGGTGAAAGATTTCTGAGAAGAAATGGAAGGTGGTTGTGAGCTGTGGCATGCCTTTGATGGGATATGAGTGTGAATGAGTCTGGGCTGTGAAGCTCTGCATTTCAGGAGTAGAGCCAGGGAAGAGACAGAGAGGACCTTTTCCTGGTTGCCAAGGGAACTCACAGAGAAGCTTCTGCTGGGACTCCTGGGGGCCTGCCCAGCCACCCACTGACAGTGGTATCCTCACCTGACCCCCTTGGTCCACTGTCCTTTCACTTCAGCAGTTGGTAGGAGCCTGTGGTCTGTGAATAAAAGGAAGGAAATCAGGATGGGAACTCAAAGCCAGGATCAAGGATGTCACCCAGCTCAGCAGCCACCACTGGTGTCCAAAGACACAGAAGCAGAAACTAGAAGACATGAAAACTGGGAAAAAGAAACTGAAGAGTTGGTCGCTGTTAGAACAGTTTCATACAAGCCCTGAGTTCCCATCTCTTGCTGTTATTCCTTCTCAGATAGAATTAGCAAAGTTCTCTTGAGCTAACATTATAGAAAAAAATGATTAACAAAAAAAAAAAAAAAAAAATTCTTCTTTTTTCCTAAATGTTGTTTCCCAATGACTGGAGGAAAACAAAACCTCATTAGACTGCTGTTTAGCAGATTCTTTAAAACTGAAAAAAAAATTATACTTATATTAACAATGGCATAGAGGAAATGATATGGTAGCATACCTGGGATCCTAGCACTTGGGAGAGAAGTGGAGGCAGAAGAATGACAAAGAAGTTCAATGTCATCTTCTTTACATAATGAGCTTGAGGCCCGCCTGGGATACATGCAACCTCCTCCAAGGAAGGAAGCAAGGAAGAGTGGATGGACACAATTTTTTTTTAAATGAAGAAAAGCCTGGCCTGTTTCATCGTCACCTAAGCGTCAGCACTGCTGTGGAAGACGTACACTGCAGACTGGAACCTGAAGCTGGGAGAGGTGAGGCGGCTTCAGAAAACTGAAAAACTGACCGCTTGTTAGCTGAATCACAGGATCCCAGAGACCCTTTTACCCTGTAAAATTCACTTTCTGTGAGAGTGTCTTTCAGCCCCTGAGAGAACAAAGAGCTCCATGGAGTCCTTACAGTACTGAGTTCCGAACAAGGAGCATGAGGTTAATTCTGAGAGTGGTGATTCTTTAGACAAAAACCTTGCAAACTGAAGAACTGGTAACTCGGTGATTATTATTAAGCACTAATAAACATTTTGAAAATGGCAATACATGTTATTAGTTCATAAACAGAATGGTAGGCATAAAAAGTATCTTGGTTTTTATCTCTAATGGCATCAATGTTTTAAGTGACCGCTGGTCTCTTGGTGTCCATCTGGGGACCCCCAAATGAAGCTCCACCTGCATGAGGGAGGGGGTGAGCAGAAAATGGACCCTAGAACCTCCCTCCACCATAGAGAGATATTGGTGGCCAATGGGCTGAAAAATAAGGAACATTTACTGATACTTCTGCTCCTCAAGCGTCGTGGCAGCATCTTCAATATCGATCTTTCTTAACTCTCAAATGATCCCTTGGGGGAGACTTTATCATTGCCCCTCCCCAGTTATAACGGGGAAACGGGATTGGAGGATGTAAGGCCATAAGGTAATATCAGAAAGCCCAGGGTGTCTACACTTGTAGACTTAGGAAAATACACCTTGCCAGGACCACGCCTAAGTCCACTCCCAAGGACCAGGGAGGCGTCTAAAGAGACATAGCTGAAGTCTAAGGGTAAGTCTAAGACATATCTGAGCATCGAAGAACTGAGATATCCAAGACCCCTTCTTTGGCACCAATCTAATCTCCTTCCCCTTGCACCTTGCACTGGATGATTATAGCCCCCAGCGAATACGGACAGGACCCTTCTAAAGTCAACATACTCTTAGACGTAAGGAAAAGGGGGAGTTAGCAACAGGACCCATGGGGAGTTTACAAGACTGGCCTCCCTGGGTTTTACCCCTGGATTGACTGACTTGGGATCTCCATACAATGAAACATCTGCAAGAGCAAACTGGTACTTGTTTTCTAAGTGGTCCAAGAAAACTTTGTCTGCATGTTGACTGGGCTCTTGGTGAATGGAAGGGACTTCTCTCAAGGATAGCAGAGGCCAACCCTGGCATTGAGGCACATGGGTCCTGCTATGGCAACCTCCTCAGCCAGACCATAACCATCTGGACAGCTGTGTTCCCAGCCACACTGAACTGCCCTGGAGTCGTATTTTCTGCCTGTCCTGTGGCTTGCTCCTCTTGACACCTGGGAAGTCTGTGTCTTCCTTTCTACCTGCACAACCTACCCTTTTGAGGCCGGGAATCTTCCTTCCAGACACTGTAGCTGTCTGCCCTCCTCTCAAGGGTACTCCAGAGTTTTATTTTGTCTTACTAAGTGGCTTTGAAACATGGTGAGGCAAGGACCCCACCCCACCCCACCCTTCCCGGCAGGGACACTGCTGTGTCTATGGAATTCAAGATTCTCCCTCTGTGCTCTGGGTTACTGCTTGCCTGGCCCCCTTCGGGTGTGGCCCAGCTAATCAGAACGCTGATGGTCTCTTTGTAGAGTGTGAAGGGTGCACTGTCAGGGGCTGCAGTCCTGTTTCTACGCAGGCACTCGGTGCCTGACACGCCAGGGAGAGGTCTGCGGCGCCGCGGAGCGTGGTGCAGGATTGCCTTGCTCCCACCTCTGCGCACAGACCCTTGTCAAGCTGGCGCGTGCACACAGGCCAGGATGGAAGGCGCCATCCTAACTTCTGCTGTGAGCAGGTGGGAGGGAAGAGACGCGAGAGGTATTCCATTGGTTGTCTGGGAAAATCAACTGCACCTTCCCCTCACTTGCACAGGATCAACTTTTCCCACCCCTTAGGGTGGGCATTAGTACCTTGGGGCCTGAGCCGGAACGTGGGAGCCCAGGGGTCCCATTTTCAGGGACTCTGGCTCTGCTCAGGCAGCGGGCCCTCCTAGACACCGCGGAAAGTGCTTTATAGTGTCCCGTATCCCTCGACCTGGGCTAGTGAGCCTGTGTCACGACTGCCCGGCTGTCCCGCTCGTGGCGCTGTGGCCGGCAGGTCCCTCCCCCCCTCCCCGCGGGCCCGCACGTGCCGCACCCCTGCGGGTCGAGCGCGGGTCCCGCGGTGGCGCGGCTGAGCCGAGCCTGCCGGCGGGCAGAGAGCCGTCCGCCGCCGCATCCCGAGCGGGGCAGCGGCGCGATGCTGCGCTGGAATGAGGAAGCTTGGAGGCGAGGGGAGGGCCCGGGCGCGCTGCGCGCGGG